TACCAGATTCATTGATGCAACAAAAAAAGACACCTAAATCAAAAAAGAAGCTTCGCTTTCAGTCACCAGTTGTCGTACCAAGAGAGTGTCATCCTCATGTGACATATCACATCAGTTACCCTCACCAGAATTAACACTCCATTAGTCTCCATTACCTCCTCCTTTCCCTTTGTCTGCCAAAATACGCAAAATCCAGTCAAAACCATCAGTGGATAATAAATTACCAGCCAAGAAAAGAAAGCTCGACATAAACTTATATAGTGAGCTTTCTAAATCGGAGAACCAAAAATGGATCAGCAAATAAACAATTAACCACAAAGAGAAGATTAAAACAAGACAATCACTTGACTCGGACATAAATGCTGTTCAACAAATTCTAAAGCAACAGTTTGGCGATATTAATGATTTTCTACAGACGAAAAGAACTCCATTATGGGAAGACAAAGAAACCCAATGGAAATACGGACTCCAAAACGTTATGTGTATTGCCGTCTAGATCTACCATAACGGAAAATTCCACTGGGTAGCTTATATGAAATTGAATGGGCAAAAACATGCTCTTGACAGCTAATGCAACGGGAAAATCAGCACATTCCTGCAAATACAGCTGGCTAGAATGCACGGCAGCAAGTTTCACAAAATGACAGTCTGCATCCCACAAATCCAACAACAAACAAACAGCGTTGATTGTACATGAAATTTGTTTGCAAATGCAGTTCTGTTTTAGTTACAATCAAGGTCATAACCTCTTCAATTTTGATGCACCATTCCTTAGACAGCACTTGATACATTGCGTAGAGAAAGGGTCCTTGTGTGCTTTAGTTAAAACTAATGCAAAGCTTACCAAAAAGAAAGTGTTTCATGTGACTGTAAATATCAATCTCATGAAGAAAATGATAGGTTGTGATGCCTCTTACAGGAGTTGGAGATAGCGAGGAATAGTTATGCACACAATACAGAAATTGAAATCAAAGAACACTTTTCCTAATACAGTAGGATTGACAATAACTAACGGTTAATAAAATATATCTCCTCCGCATGATGTCTGTGAAGATTTTTGTTTGTTTGTCCGTTTATCAAATAAGTTGAACAAGAAAGGTTGGAAATATTAAATCCCCAAGTGCAGACATACACGCTACGAAGCATGATACGACAGGATATTCGTCTTACTATTTGATGTTTGGCTGCCACGACAAACTCGCCATAAATGTTTACTTGGGAATAGACAAGTTGTTGGAGAAGCCAAGGAATAGGGAAGCTCATGTGAGTAAACTCAAAAAGCGTTTGGATTTTGCTTACAAAGTTGCCAAGACATATATGGATAAGAACACAGAGAGATGCAACAGGTGTATGATATCAAAGATAGAAATTCACAGCTAAAAAGTGGAAAAAATAACTTTAAAGGAATACAGACATTCCAAATCAAGAACAAAGTGGTGAAAAATCAATTCTTCAATCAAGATCGAACATATTTGCTCTGGCGTAGCGTGCCAGTGCTCTTCTCACCACTTAGCTATTGAGACCATAGATATCAACTGATTTCACGCACCTGTGAACCCGGTGACATACATGTATGATAGAATTATCAAAGTACCGAAACAATAATTTTATCCTGAGTCGGAAGAGGGGTACCAAACGTTATTTTAAAGATGGCCTTAAGGTCGGTATACACGGTAAGATTTGTATTATAAGATTTGTATTATAATACAAAATCTTACTGTGTATACACTCTTAATACAGTGTATCATAAGATTTTTCGAATCTTATAAAACTGTATTAAGAATAGAGCAATGCTCTATTTCCTATTACAAGTCTTAACTTACTTATCACTTTCAACCAATGAAATGTAACGACACTAGGGGTCATCCTATTTTTATCATTACTTAAAAGCACATGGTAAATAATAATGGTCGACTTTACAAGTAAAGACATCGAAAAACTCGTGGCTTAATGGGAAGAGGACGTATCGTCAGTAAACAATGGCTATTTCCATTACTATGTCGATACAATATATCCCAGTGAACTTGAAATAAAAGATAACACAAAGTCTGAGACATCTGTTTCATACTTGGATATTCTGCTTCAAAAGGACGTTAATGGTAACCTAACAATCAAGCTGTTCAATGTATGATAAACGTGACGACTTCAACTTTTTCTTAAACTTCCCTTCATTATGCAGCAAGATACCTTCGTCACCTGCATTTATATATCTCAGTTGATTCGATGAGCAAGAGCATGAACAATTTCTAAAACGAGGTAAATTATTGACAAACAAGTTCATGAAACAAGATTATCAGCAGTCTCGTTTCAAGTCATCTTTTCGTAAGTTTTTTAGCAGATATAATGACTTCGGCAGCAAATGTAAATTATCATTGAGTTAAATGCTGACTGACGTTTTTCATATTTATTCTTAGTCCATTATTTATGCCTGAATTGACGACAGATTTTTCCGATATTTTTCGATTATGACAAGGGGCACACGGCGGGTGTGACCGGTCAGCAGCGGATGCTCACTCCTCCATGACAACTGATTCCATCTCCGATGTTTTGGAGGTCCAAAACTTTGATGGACTTTGATGTTGAATACTGCTCGTTATCTCCAAATCCTTCATTCGAATAAATTACTCATTTCTCAACATGTTTAATTTACTTTCTTTTCATTTACAAGGTTTTTGATATATGGTTATTAATAATAAATTTTGAAGACAGACAGGCATGTTACAGCAATTACTATTAGACAAGTCTTTAGGTTCTCTCCTCCATTTGTATTATCTGAAATAAAACATTTAATCTAACTTATTAATAATTTTTAACAAAAAATTAATTTAGATTTAGATAATTCTTAATATGATCTTCCTATTACATGTGTTGAATCAAGCTATCCTTTATCGCTTACCACATCCCCACTTCTTTCGCTGTTCTTTCAACAGATCCGTAGAAGTTATTCCTTTGCTGATAACCAGGGCAGGTGCTATGGGTTTTGAGTTGCAGTAATCAGTTACTGATTTTATACACTTCATTTTTCTGCTGGTGGTACTGTAAAAACAAATAAAAGTTCGTAATTATACACAGATAATCTTTCTTTCATTATATTTGTATATCTGAGCCTACCGCTACCATGGAGGTGGCACTCATTTTAATTCAGTAGAGTGAAGATTCAGACGAAACAAAAATCTTTTCATACATATGGAGTCACAAACATTTACAGCTGGACCTAATAAAACAATACTATAGTAAACTATAGTTAACTATAGTACCAAAGTGATAACTTTTGAACTTTGATTTACTATGGTGAAAACTTTGGAACTTGGATTTATTGTGGTGAAAACTTTGGAACTTTGATTTACTATAGTAAAAACTCTGGAACTTTGATTTACTATAGTAAAAACTCTGGAACTTTGATTTACTATGGTGAAAACTTTTGGAACTTTGATTTATTGTGGTGAAAACTTTGGAACTTTGATTTACTATGGTGAAAACTTTGGAACTTTGATTTACTAATGTAGAAACTAGGGAACTTTGATTTACTATGGTGAAAACTTTGGAACTTTGATTTACTATCGTGAAAACTTTGGAACTTTGATTTACTATAGTAAACTATAGTTTACTATAGTATTTTTTTGTTAGGGGAGGGCTACATTTTTACATATACTTGGCACTCAGACACATCGAGAAGTATGGGGTCGTTTTGTGCAAAAAGTGCGACAGTGGACCTCGCTTTTTACGGTGAAATATTTGGATATAACGAGTATTCAAACTCAAAAGCCAAATTAACAATTCCCTATAACAGCAAAGCAAAAATGGTCCTCAACAACATCAGAGTTTAGGTAAGATGCCATGGAGGAGTGAGCATCCTCTGCCGATAGGGCACAGCCGCCGTGTGCTCCTTGTCATGATCGGGATATAACGGGAAAAATTCTGGACAATTCAGTTTGTAAATAATGGCCAATCAATAAATTAAATCGTAAGGTAGTATTTGACTCAATGATAAGTTATATTTGCTGACATCATTGTATTGACTATAGAACGAAATGATCACTAAAACGAGACTCAAAAAGTCTCATCCTAAGGACAGGTCTCCACGCCGCACAGTGGACTTAGAATCCGCGACGTTAGGATCAACTCCTCGACTATTTAGCAGACACTCTAACCACTGCGTTACGAAGGCGATCCGATGCAACGCAAATCTGAAGCCAAAGCTGAACGTGTAAATTTGGTAACCTCAGATTTGACCATGTTTCAGGCTGCATGCTGTATTGTTTAGAAACGATATCAGTCACAGTCATATAATACACAGTCAATTATCGTTATTGTGCCCACAAAATTATCAGCCTTTTGGGCGGAAAATGGTAGCGACCTCACGTTTTTGATGCGTTTTCAATAACGTTTATCACATTTAGTTCGAATAAAATTGTTCACTAAAATTAAACAACAATACAACGATTCGGATTCAAATACACTTTTCTGATAATAAATAATTTAGATAATATCGGGTGCAAAGTTTGAGAAATGGATACCAAGGGGGAAAAAAGGTATTAAGGAATTTACTTAAGATTCTGAGGAAGCGGGTATAATCTTCCTTCATAGGTAAAGAGAAAAGTATACCTGCAAATCTGTGATTTCATACCCATGGCGTGTAACTCATAGCTAGCTCTGTTACAGTTTTGTAACTCATCATCTGAGCAGTCGAGGGCATTGGATCCTAAAATATAAAACAAATAACACCGTTTCAGTAGAAATTCTATCCAGGATTCAATTATGGAATTAAAGCGAAGGCGTCAAGATTGCTAATATATTGTATTACAAATCGTTAGCAATTTTTCGCCACTTTCGAGGTTACTGTAATTTAAAAAATCGCTGAAATAAATACCGATTAGTTATAGTTATTTTGGTAGGTTAAAATCCTCTCGAGAATTTTTCATTTGTATGGAGGCGCAATCACTTGCCGGTGGAGGGCTGAATGTGTACACCTATAGTCGGCATTCAGGACCATTGAGAAGTGGGATTCGTGCCAACTCCTACTGCAACACGAGAATCGGTTAATATGGCCCTTAGAATCGATTTTAACGCACTACATCGTGAGGATCAGTTCCTTTACTCCACGACTCTAGAGTTAGCGCCCTACTCACTGCGACCCAAGGGCAACAAGAAAACTTAAAATCTCTAAACTTGCGTCTTGCTTCAATTTACAATATGAAAAATACATGGAAGGGGCGCTATACGTAAAAAAACATTTTTTTTTTCATTTTTATAATATATAGATTGCCTATTAAAAATGACATTTCTTGAATGATAAAAAGATTACCTCCAGGAAAGATAGCAAAAGCAAAACATGTTAGAAACAATATGGTTTGTATCTTAGAGAACATCTTTGTCTTCTTCCTGTTAAAGAAGAATATGAAAATAGGAAAGTCGCATAGTAAACACACAAAGGGACTGACAAAAATAATCTGCATTAATAAGGAAATATAATAAACCCGAGATAACAGATCCATGGATGAGAAGATAAAAGTTTGACTAATTTAAATTGTATATGACACAGCTAGTTTTCAAGCTTCCTTAAAATAAAGGGATCTCAAGTCCTGTGTAGGCCTATTTCAGATATTCTCAACTTTTGCAATTTGTGAAAAATAACATTTGATAAAATTACTTATATATATATATAAAGGTATCTGTAAAATAGTTTCTTTTCTGTTTATAAAAAAACACGCAACATACCTTTGTTGATTCAAAAGAAACTCCACGACATTAAAACCTTCCTTACACTCTTGTGCAAATTTAAGTAAATAAATACTCGGTAATTTGATGGAATTATTAAGTAACACATTTAACATCTAACATAAACATCAACATTTTTAGTTAAAGTCAACAGTAGCATTAAATTCAGCCTAGTACTTCACGTAGGGCTTTGCAATAATGTTTAAAATATATTTTCTTGAATTTACGAGACGATTTGAAAAGAATATGCATACGAGACAGTAGTGAATGGTCATAAAAGCGTGCGGCAATGTAGAATACAAAATGTGATACGTAAACAAGATATACATGATTGGAACTGAAAATTGTTTTGTTTATGTCGTAAATCATTGGTTTATTAGTCGTTCGTATGATAAATACAAGTGCAGGTTTTGCGAGTATACATACCAGCATTAACTAAGGTGTTTTTAAAATTAACTTTGAAATTTTGATCTGTGAATTTTTTGGGGGGTCCAAAATCAATTGAAACACTAAAATTCTTGAGCAGAGCAAACAAAGAACTCTGAAAATACTGGGTCCGTCGTCAAAAACAAATTTTAAGTCTGAGAATTTACCGAAATCCTAAATCTAGAACCTAGTTAGCAGTAGTAATGAAAAGTTGAGAAAAATAAAAATTCTAACACTGTTTTTAGCTCTTTCTCGTTAGAGACCAAAAGAGCTTATGCAATAGTAAGCTGTCCGTCCGTCTGCCTGAATGTAAAAAAAAACATTATAAAATGCAACTCCTCCGACAGTTTTGTTCTGATTTTAGAATTATACTCGACACACAAGTCGACTAAAAAAAGATTCATAACCAGTTTTTAATTACTTTGAACAGTGTAGCTATGGATACTAAAAAAAAAAGATTCCCTGAGATTCCTTTCAAACATAACTTCTCCTTTAGTTTTGATCTGATTTCAATAAAACTAAGCTCATGCGAAAAATATTTCCTCAAATTCATAATCGTTGCCATGGTAACTAGAATGGACATTTCTTAGACATTAGTTTAAGAGCCAGTCAGCTAGAAAACCATGCAAAAGTGTCCAAATCGGAGGCTGTCGCATCTGATGAAATTTGTAGAGGGACTTCATAACGTTGCAAGTGAAAAAAAAGCCAAAATAATTTTCCATCATCGAACATGGCAGCTGTAGGAAGCGCCATCCCTTTTGGTGGTTTAAGCCCCACCCCTCAGGTCCTAGGGGGGCAGGGACAATGAAATTCTGAAAAAAAAAGTTCCCCTTTACCCATATATGCTGTATACCGCATTAAGTTCAGTTGTTCCACAGATGCTAAAAATGTTCAAAAGTTTACGACCGACAAACGATATCGGACAATAACAGATAGCAATAGGTGACTTTAGTTTACATAGGCGGCTTTAAAAGACAACATGTACCAAAAGATCACTCAAGATGAGCTACATTACTTCTAATAAATATCATACATTTGCATGAACAAAAATCAGCATTTTCCATTCATGCAAAGTGTTTTCCGAATACTAATTTTTCATAATATTGGGATCAAGTTTAATGAACGAAATTTCTAATGGTTTTGATTCTTATCTCACAGAACTAGCGAACAGACTCCTGATCTGACGAAGTTAACCATTCATCTCTGCTGAACTGTTTCAAGCCATCATCATTCCTTCGAACTCTCCGGTTTGCAGCAATCTTGTAACATTTTGGTCTTCTTGCTGTTTTTCGCAATTTACATATATATTGTACAGGAATTCCCTCACTTTGAACTAAATCTCCCCGAATTTGGCTCTTTTGAGTGCCCATCCTTCTGGTTTTTGCTGTTACACCTGGATGGGTTTTCTCTGTGCCTTGCAAAGGATAAAAACCATCTAACACTAGTGATGTGGGAGCACATTCCCACCACTCTTGACCCTATTTTGCATTTGCAAAACCATGATTTTATATTTATCTCATCAAACCCAATCCACAATAAATACTTTTTTGCCGATATATGCCTGCTTTGAAGTTTTGCACGTAGAATTCCATCATGGTCATTGTTGACGTAAATTTCATAGTTGCCATCTTTATCCAGATGTTCCTGAGCATAGGATTTAGCTAGTTTTATCTGATATACCCCCATTGTTAATTCACGTATTTCTTCTTCCGACAGTTGCGGAAATGCAATGCTTGTGTCGCTGGCGTCAATCTTCCGCCACCTTACTTCCCTTTTGTCTAAACCTACATTTAAAAAAGCATGTTACTCATAATTAGTTGTAATAAATTTAGAAATTCATAATTTATCAAGATATTATAAAACAAGCATTCTGAGAGCACTGCATAAGCAATAGTCCCCTATCGGCATGTAAAATCTGGTCCCCGTTAAAAAATGAAAATGCCATAACTCTGTAAAAAATCATTGAAGCGGAATGAAATGCAAATCTGATTTATAACTCATCAAGATGCACACCTACTAAAAATTCAGCTTAATATTTGCAAGCGTTTAGAAAAAAAAATAACGATAGGAAACCCCTATCAATGAAGTGGAACGAAGTACAATCTTGACCTGTAATCACCTCCGGTTTCACCGGCAGGGGAGTAATAATAGACTAGAAATTACATTGATGTAATGCTCTTATATTGAGTTACAGCAGCAATTTACCATTTGTCTCTACATATTCCTTGAGTACATTGACTTCCTTGGAGAGAAAACGCATCTTCGCAGCTGTCGACAAGTCACTCTCTAATCCTGTACTAACATCAGGCCTGAATTTATTGCAGATGGCACTAATGATCCGAACATAGTCTCCGATGTGTGGTATCTGGCTAATGGGAATGGTTCTGTCCAAGTAATTCCAGGTTTTGATTCTACCATTAACACTTTCGACGACCCATCGTAGCTAAAAAACAAATGTTGATCTTAATTGATTTACTTTGATTTACAGTTCTTTTTCATTTATTTAATCAGAACACAATTGAAATACTTCTGAAAATTACATCTTATATACATTTTAAAAATAATTATGCTTTTGATCTTGAGTTTCTTCAATAGTTATCTTACTTTTGTAACTAAACGTGTTGCATTAGACTCTTCTGTTGTGTGTTGCTTTGTTCCACGTGGTAGAAAGGAAGGCATTTCAACATGAATTCCAATGTCGTTGAGTAGAGTTTCCGCATCCCTAAACCCTCTATCGACAATGAATATGTCTTCCTCCTTTATCCAATCTTTAATTTCCTCTACGTTGGTTTCTATCATATGCGTCAAAATCTTAGCATCTGAATTCTTGGAGTCGGCTAGGTATGGCCCAAGCACTGAAACAACGTACCCCGATGTAGTAACCACTATCATAGGTTTAATCAACGGCCTGTGTTTATGAGTACTAAATGATCTTCTTGAGAATGTAAAATTACCACTTTTTTGTAGGTATATATATGTCCCATCAAGTACTAGTATTACTGGATTTTCAGTTACAGTACAGAGCAGCTCTTTTGCAAGTGGACGGGTGTGGTTTTCTTTAACGTCCTCCCGGGTAATGTGGGAAAATCCCAAATGATGTGGAACAAAGTTCAACATCAGAGCATGTTTTGCTGTCAATACAGCACGCCTTATCTAGAAAAGAAAACACAGATCTATACTATTATTTTTTTAAAGAGATTACAAAGAACTACAATGTAGATTATTTGTAAATTAAAGAAATCACCTGCCATTTTTGCATGCCAAAGAGAGTTCCAAGCAAATGATTGCTCATTCCACAACGCAATTTGGTTAATAGAATAGCAATACAAGTCCTCACACTTCTGGTCTTGGTTGCCCTTATGTCAACGTCTTTCAGGTATGAGAGCAGCTCATCAAACTGGTCTTTCGTCAACCCAGTAAGATTATAATAATCTTCGTTATCCATACTCTTGGCGTCATCAAAGTTGAGTCTAATACTTTCATTCCGTAGAGCGAATTCCCTAGTTTGTTGGAGCAGTTCTACAATGGATGTCCTGTTGATATTTGTGTCAGGGTTTGTTTGCTGCATTTGTTGTAGTGCATCGTCAGTAAACTCTTTATCTGCAATATGTTTTGGGCAACATCTAGAGCCGGCAGGAACAAACATTTTTTTCCGTAAGAAAGCTCTGACACGGGCATACTGAGTCACCCTATAAGCTTTGGACCTGGCTTTTTACATATAAGACAATTCGCATGGCTCTTTGATGTGCTGGGGATGCTAAGAGTCACAGAAGGTGGACTTGCAGTCACAGACATTTTCATTCTTTTATTTGGTTCACTTTCCTGAGTACTGGAGATACTTTCAGAAGTTGGTAATTGCGATTCACACATATATCTGCACTTCCTACACAGAACCTCTTCTTCTTTTACCTTTTGTAAATACTTTCTTTCTAATATTGAAGTATGTTTAGGTTTTATTTTGTACCTGTCGTTTGGTGTAGTCCTCTTATTACACAGAATACAGGGAGATGATTTAGGTCCTGTTCCTGGCATCCTGTATTAATGTACAGACAAAATTAATTACTCCACCTTGCAACACATTTGTGAATCTCAAAAGAAAACCTTGAAAATAAATTTAAAAGTAACAAAAATCTTAAGAGCCATCATCATCGCCAGATATATATGTAAAGTAGAAAAAAAATTGTCTTTTATCGTTATTTTTTACACCAAATATATATATATATATTTTTACATTGTAATTAATCTTAAAAAAAATAAAGAGCACTGTATTTATTTTTTCTATCAAAAGCTCTCACCAAAATCATTTCATTAAAATATATTAATGGAAGACATACCCCGGTATACCTTTAATTTATACATTACACCCTTACCTGATTTAGTGTCAGTAGTTAATCCCATCCATTTATCAATTTAACTCTCTTCTTGTGATATTTCTTTTCTGTAAAATGTTATATTATTATAAAATATGCATATACAATTCTACATTTGGAAATAAATAAATAAACAGATTTTTTTTTAATTTCTAGTAAAAGATTTTTGAAATATACATTTATAAATAAAAAAAAATTACTCCCCGAGTGAGATTCGAACTCACAACCTTCCGCGCGGTTATGCTACGTTTACACTATGTTCCCGGCAGCCACGGCAATCACGTTTCAGGCCACCGTGGAAAAAACGGGACGGGCGTGAGAAAACTTAGGGCAACGGGATGGGCAAACGTAACTCATCGCGATTGCCGTGGATGCCGTGCCAGATTTTTAAACTGTCAAAAAATTTGCCACGGCGGCCACGTTGCAGATGTGAAACTTAGTAGGTCGTAGTAAAACGGAATAAACGCAACAAAACGCGACAGCACGTAATAGACCGTAACAGAACTTGGAGGCAGTCCGCAGTGGGACGGGAGAATGTATATTTCCATTCATCTCACGGTCCATTCACGTTTTGAGACGTTTTGCTGAGTTTAGTCCGCGTTCTGTCACGGCTAGTTCACGGTTGTTGTCCGTTTTATCACGTTCTGCCACGTTTCATCACGGTCCTCACGGCAAACTAGGGTGTATGGTAGCCGTTTCCTCGCGTTCAATCGCTGTTCGTCCCGGCATGTTACGGTTTATGGTCCCGGTGCGTTGCGTTCTACTACGGTCTGACACGGCGCACGCGGTCTGAGAGGAAGCATATAAAAGCGGGGAACTGCAGAGAAGTTTCATTCGTCTTATTCGTCTCATTCCTAGTTGCTGCACTCCTGCCTTTCCTCTCTGTAACTGCTGCTGGTTCTCTTCATTTTGACGACGTGATTTTAGGTATGCACCCAGCAAACACGCGAAAATAAAATCTTCGTCTTGGGAATTCATGATGCTTTATCTTCGAAGGGTCATGATACAATGATTGTTTCTGGTTAGGAGACCTTCTCTGGTAAAAACATCATCCATAATTTCCCGGCGTCCATGTTTCATACGTAGAAAGACTTGACAGAACGTGAGAAACGTATACGAACTTCATAAGAACGCGAGAAACGAGAGGGGACCTATCAGAACGTAAGAGGCCTGGGGGGAACGTGCTGGCATACGTGGCAGAACCGTAGTGCGCCGTGGAGCCTCCGGCACTCCACGGCAACTTCTTCCTACGGCCCATCACGGATTCCATAGAAGACCGTAGAAGACCGCAAAAGAACTTGTCAAGACTTGGATATAGAGGGGAAAATAACCAAAATCTCACGGCGCACTACGTTTCGGGCAAACGGGGCTGCCGTGGCCGCCGGGAACATAGTGTAAACGTAGCATTACCTACCTACTATAACCATTCAGCCATTCAGGATTCATACATTTTCTTATAAAATATTTTAGGTCTACTTTGATGCGCAAGAAATTTATTATAGCTCTTAAATTTTCGATTATCAAAACATTTCACATCACTAATATGAACGAATGTAAGGGTTAATCATAATCTACTTTACTTATTTTGGGCATTATTGCTCCAATTATATGATGCGAATGTTCGCTGACGTCATTTTCATTACACTAACTTGTGCGACATTATCAGACGACATAACCATGATGTCGATGTCTTCTTAACAACAACTTGCCAAATTTTAACTCCCATATTATGCAATTATGTATTAAATCATTACCTGGTCATTTTCTTCTGGTTTAAATGCAGCTTGCAGACTCTAGACTGTTCGTCATAATTTACATCTATGTTGTCACGGACGCTTTTTGTAGATAACGAAACAAACCAAACTGGTGTTGTTGAAAAAAATCCGTAATAAGCGTTATTTTTTCAAAGGCAATTTCACTCTTATTGTTACATAATGTATGTTAATAATTTATGATTAAAAATTATATTTCATTTAATCGCAAAATGAAAAGGACGATACGATTTCTGAAGTAAGAATATTACTGTAACTTGCTTTTTATTGGAATCCGGAATAACCAAAACTTTAATTTTAGTGTTGGCCGCAGCAAACGCGATTGATGGGATCATTATAAATTAATACATTTCAGTTATATCAAAAACATATATAAGTCTCATGAATCGCGTTCGTTGCGGCCATAGTGAAAATTGCAATCAAAATCATAAAAATTGCAATATTTAGTGGAATTATCGGTACACGGAAAGGTTTTGAAATGTACGTAGTATATGTGTGACGTTTTGGCGCCATTTTAATACCGTGGTTGGAGAGACCCGAGGGTATAGAAAATAAATAAGCATCATATACCTGATAATATTACTGTTTGTTTTTTGCAAATTTACTAGGCCGATATATGCAACAACCGTATTTAATTCTTTGTACCCACAAAAAAAATTTAAATAAAATTAATAATTTTTGACCGATTGATTGGTTGCTGTTTAACGTTCCTCTCGAGAATTTTTTTTCTTGATAGAGACGCAACTACTTGCAGGTGGAGAGCTACGAATGTTGCCCTATAATCGGCTCTCAGGGCCATTTAGCAGGGAGGGATCTTTTCCGTGCCACCACCTACCGTAACACGGGACCTCGGTTTATTCGGTCTCATCCGAAGGACCGGTTTCCACGTCCCACAGTTGGATTTGAACCCGCAACGTAGGATCAGTTCCTTACTTAGCGAATCTAGAGCAGACGCTCTAATCACTTCGCCACATTGGAGACATTAAAATTCTTCAGATCTTAATCATAACAACACGGTAATATATAATTAACATGTTAAACCAAGTGGATGAATTTTTTGTTAAAATAAAACACGGAAAATTATGGTTATATTTAATTACAACCACTTGTTTATTGTCATCAGCAAAAGAAATAAAGTGTAATTAGATCTCATATTCCTACAAGTAGCACAGCTAGCCTATAGGGAGAATGTTTTAGAAAGAATTACACCTCTGTAATTTTTTTTATATATTAGAATATGACAAATAAACCTAATACTTTTTTCGGTAAAAAGCCCTTTTGTGGAATAGTGTTCTGCTTTTTGTCCATGCTGAAATAGTTGCCAAAACTATTTACCTACAACATTCTATAGCTCCAACTCACTTTTGATTTCAGAAATTGATTTTTCGTACTACATGTACGTGTACGTGTAAGACATGGACAGAGGTACTAGTGGAGCGTAACATGAACACTGGGTAGAGTCATATTGCATTCAGAAATCATTAATCAGATGCTACCCAATAAATATGTAAAGGTGGTACATATGTACATGTACATAATGTTACAGGAAAAAAGTAGTAATTATGTATTTTTATTCACCGATATACCACAGATTGACCACAAAAGAGTAAATAAATCATGTAAATGTGATTGACTGTATGACTGTATGTTGTTTAACGCCCCTCTCGAGAATGTTTTACTTAGATGGAGACGCCGCCACTTGCCGGTGGAGAGCTAAGTTTTGTCATAACTCGGCATTTCGGGCTATTATACAGTTTTATACGAAGGACCAGTCCCCACGTCCCACAGCGGTATTCAAGCCAGCGACATAATGGATTGACTCTTTACTTCGCGACTCTAGAGCCGACGTTCTAACCACTGCGCCACGCGGGCGACTGTAAATGTGATTGGACTTCAAGTATGTGTATCCTTGGCACACTTCATGAAAATGTGTGTGGCAGTTTACCTTGTACCTCGCAGAAACATGTCACATATGCCTACTATGAGATATTCATGAATGTATTCATGTACAGTGTACTCTCTCTCTCTCATTCTATATTAAAAAATATATAAAAAGTTGCCTACTGTAATAACAGGCTATACTGTAGTGAGCCATCCTATCCCATGGCATTTTATCACACAACCATTAATAATCATCTGATTATTAACGAAGCATTGCATCTTTTTCTACAACAACTTATTACATTTTCTAATCTTGATTCATAAATGAACTTTGATTTTCTTACCAGTTCCAACTGTAATAGTTTCCCTCGTATGCATCCAGTGTTGCTTGCATGTGGTTGGTTGTGCACCTCTACTAGCTTTTTCTTTAATGTCTTTGGTATGACCGCGCCCAAAAATTGACAAGTATTAATTCTGTCTTTCCAATGAATATCCAGCTCATTCCGATGTTTAGGGCATATAGATTTGAACAAGAGTCATCAATTGTAAAAATACCGCTTCTGTACAAAATAAGAAGTCCTTCGGAGATTTTACCTCTACGTTCTACATGTAGCTATTGCAGGAAGAAGGGACGGTTTGGGCTTTCTTGTGGCCTAAAATATTATGTTCATAAAAAGTTACGAAATTGGCTTTAACAAGAGCTAAGTAGATGAAGATGATAAACATAAAAGAATATGGCATGAAATAGGTCTTTCTGGAAATATGACGTCATTAATTTCAAATTGGTTATTTCTTAGTTAAATGCAGAAAAGCCTCAGAATGCCTCATTTTAAGCTTATTTTTCCTTTACAGAATAGTGTCTGCCACTGTCGCCCGCTCTAATTTTTAGATATATTGTGTAATCTGCTTTGAAAAATTACATAAAAATCTTTGTGGGCGACGGTGGCAGAGTATGTTTTCTGAAAGAAAATTTCATTGAAAATTGATGTTTTCTGCAATTTTTAAATAAAATTCCGGAAAATGCACAAGTTTATGACGTCAAAATTAGCATTTAGGAGGTCATATGAGAAGAAAAAACTATTTGTGTATTCTTACTGGAATTCCTGCGAACGGGAATGAATCACTTTCATTTGTGTCTTTTACACAGTCAGTTATATAATCAATCTTTTTTTTCACTATAATAGTGAAGTAATGCACCACATTTTATAGAAGTATTTGAAAAATCATAAATTATGTTGTGTCATTCATCTTCCACGTTGTTTTTCTGTCATTTTCAACCAAAATTGAAAAATAGCGAAGAGTTCTAACAACTTAAGGGTCGTATACTATTCAACTCCAGGGTAAATTTGGTAAGGGGCAGGCGCGGATCCAGATATTTTTTCCAGGGGGGGGGGGGGGGGGGGGTTTCCACCCCGGTCAAGAAAAAATCCAATCCCAGAAATTTCTTAACAAGCAAAAAACAAAAGAACAAAAAAAAAAACAAACAAACTCGCCCAATGTCCAAAAACCTTTTTCGTTGGGGGAGGGTAGTTGTTACTTCTATTGCCTCAAATCTTTCACTTTTCATACCCATTTCACACATATTCGCGTTTACCGGGGGGGGGGGGGGGGGGCAGCGTTTTCCAGGGGGGGTCCATGGTAACTGTTTTCTTGTTTTACTTTATACATTTTTTAACCTGGTAAATTCCAGGGGGGGGGGGGTCCTGACCCCCTGACCCCCCTTTAGATCCGCGCATGAGGGGGGGGGGGATAAGCAAACCAATGTTATTTGAATTGTATAGGTCAGTTATTCCTGTTAAAAAATAGAAGATTTAAAATATTTTTTTAAACTTTAAATATTGAAGAAATACTAATGAATCTTGAAAAAGGACAATGGACTGTTATTTGAAAGACGTGAAATTGTAGCAGATTATGGTATATACACATTTCTTGAATAATGCACAATGTAATATTACACACTAAACGTCTCATAGCAAAAATTAAAAAGAAGTTACATCTAAGGGGTGCATACAAACATATTTGCCTTTGATTTTCTTGAGCGTTTCCTTAATTAGAAACGATTTCCCAGTCCCCGTCTGCCCCAAAATCACACAACTATTGTAAGCGTATTGCATTTGACTGTGTATTCTTTTCAGCGTCTTTGGCGGAAAGAAACGTCCGCTAATTCAAGTACAACGCTAAATGTCTTGCACATATACTCATGTATACGGAAATGATTAATTGCGCTAAATTAAATTCAAAAATCAATTTCCGCCAAATATCGTACACGCCAAATATAAGACATTTACAGTATGTCCACTTTCTATAAGATTAAATGCTCTCAAC